TATACATGACAGAGAGAGAGAGAGAGAGAGGAGGAGGAGGAGGAGGAAGAGACATTCGGACTGTCCCACTTGCTTTGCCAGCTTTTGTTGCAGAAAACTTCTCTCTTTTCCATGCCAATTATAATAACAGTGTTTGATGCTGTATGCATGTCGTGACTGATTAGCACAATAATAATTGTAATTATAATGTGATTTACTTCATAATCATATAAACTTTTGGTATTAAACTATTATTAATTATTGGGTTTTATTTCATAAAAAAGGTGCATGAACATTTTTGTCGTTGAATGAAGTTTTTTTGGGTTCATAACCTACTTCGTAGAAAGCATAATTATGTAGAAGATTTAAAGTAAGCTTAATTTTAGTTTTAGTAATATATTAATAAAATAAATTATTAATTTTATTAAATTAAATATTATATATTATAATTAAATTCATAATAGATAGTCTCTCATACCCATTTGGGTAAATTTAAAAATATATATATATATTTGCTTTACTAAATAAAATATATATGTCACCACATAAAAATCCAATAATAAATCAAAATCAACAAGTCAAAATTCAACAAACTCAAATAAAAAAAAAAATTAATTCAAAGAATTATCCAAATTTTTTGGGTTGATATTTAACGAAAATCAACATAATTCGAGATATAAATATGATCGATAACGAGATTATGTAATATTGGATTATACTTTTTAATTTTGTGTGCGTTTTTAATGTGTGTACTTAACTTAGTTAAAAATTCATAATCTTGTTATCAAATTGTTACCGAATTTGGTACTCTTTGTGAACGAAAAATTAGTGTAATGGTGGTCGATAATTGATATGAAATTTTAATAATATTTAATTAAACTAATCGTTTTTAATTATTTTTGTTCTAATTTTATCTGATGATAGTATTATATATATAAATATAGTATTTTATGAATAATATAATCTTTTTTTTTGTTGAAAGATGATGATAACATAATAAGTGACTTCATTATGGTTGTGTTTTTTTTTTTTCTTCTACTGAAAGATGTTTGTAACCTTACAAAAATGATGTGCTGTAGTGACAGAAATTTAAACCCTCGTATAAACATACTTATAATCTTATGTATATTGTCACATTTCGTACAATCTTATATATAACAAATTGTTCTTTCATATCAGAAGCACACAAATGATACGATTAACTATTATAGTACTTGTCTTATTACAAAATGGTACAATCAAAATTCAGTACCCTCAATATAGTTCTTGTCTTTGTTGTGAGCTAGCTTTAATTGACATTTTTAGTAACTAAAAATCTTCTTCCATAGAATTTTGGGGGCGAACATTTTTATAACTCAATCACAAGGGTTCGTGGATGTTGATCAACTAGGCTATTGCACTTCATAAATCTTTATATGATCTTAAATAAGCTCAAAGAACTTGGTTCGAGACACTCACCATCTTATTTTTTGCTTCATACTTTATTACTTAAGTAGACGATATCTTTATCTTTATATTTCGTAATGTGAGTTGCATTTTACTACTTATTTATATTGATCGCTTCTTATCACTAAATTATTTTTCTAACATTACGTATGTCATTATTAAACTACAATATATATAAATTTACAATTAAAAGATTATGTAAATTCATTTACTTTCTGGATATGTATACGAAAGTCTTTTATTGTTCTAGTGAATTGATACTCTGACACCGAAAGTGCCTTCTAAGATCTTTTATTCAAAACTCACTTGACTTATGCCGAGCTATGTACTCCACTTACTGATGTCTCATCTCTAACTTTGATAAATAAGCAATTATTTGCTTTAAAATCCTTAACAATATTTCAAAGTTGAACTCTATAGCTAAGTCATTAGGATTTCTTACACTTGTAGAAAAACAAGAAAGTATCAAATATTCAGCCGAAACATAAATATAAATATTTTACATATAATTGTATATACATATAAATTATGAGAATAAATTTTTCAGAAAAGAAGCTCTTTACTAATGCATTTGTTCCTTTGTATATATATATATATATGTATTTATGCATATATTAATTATTGTTTTCTCTTCATGCAAATAGTACTCCAAGCATATATATATATATATGTAATTTCCCTCTAGATCTCTGTTTTACTTAGTTAAGAAAAATAACACAGTACTCGTGCATCGGCCAAATTATTATCACAGGCGAGAGATAAGGTCACCTGTGCTTCTGAGGAAAGAAAGAAGACAAGTACCAGTGCTGCGAATATTTCTAATAGATTGGAATTAAAGAGGAAGAAGAAAGAGAAATGGACAATGTCAATCAAACTGTAAATATATATATATATATTTTAATGAGTGGACACGATATTTTATCATCGAAGGCCAAATAGAGTTACTTACAGAGATGAGCAAGAAAAAAAATTAAAAAAAGATTAATACAGTAAATCTAAATTATATTCTCTCTCTTTCTCTCTCTCAATCTAATCAACTACTTGTAGTAGTAGCCAATATATATCTATCCCCTCTTCTCTTTTCCTCGATTTGATCGTTCCTCTTTCTCTCTTCTCTCTCTCTCTCTCTCTTTCTTTCTTGTTCTTCCTCTTCTATCCATAAAAAATATTCTCTCTCTGTATTTTTCTTTTCTTTGCCAGTAATGGCAGTGCATCAGTGCCAGTGCAAGAAAAAAGGGAGAGAGTTTTCATCGGGAAGGTAAACTCTTTTTCTTCTCTCCATCTCACAAACCCATCATCGACCTCTTCTTCTTCTTCTTCTTCTCCTCATCTTTCTCTCTCTTTCTCGCGTGCCATCTTATTAAATTAAGCCTGAAATCTCTTTCTTTTCATCTCTATCACCTAGTTGTCGTTGCAGAAAATAGAAGTTGAAAAGGAGATAAATACATAGTTAGAGAGAGAGAGAAAGAAAGAAAAAACCATTTTCCAATGGAAATCTGAGCAGGCTTTAGTTTAATACTCCATTGTACAGAGAACTGACTCTTCTGTTATCTCTCTCTATCACTGTTTAGTATTTTCTTTTCCTGTAAAAAGAACTGATTCTTGAAGCTTAAAACCCGGGAGGGAGCTGGAGATCCAACAAGTTTTAGGCTAAAAGAAGATTGCGTAGGAGAGAGAGGTAAAGTAAACTCAACAAGAAAAGCTATACCTAAGAAAAGTGATAAAGAGAAAAGAAGGGAAGAAAGAGGTACATGGGCAATTACAATGGTGGGTTTTATATAGGCATATATAGCAGAGACAAAGTGAAAAACAACTAGGAAAAGCAGAAAGGAGAAAAGAGAAAATTTAGACAGAGATAATGGAGAGTGGTTCTAATAGCACTTCTTCTATGATGGCTTTTGGAGACAATAGTAATGGACTATCCCCTATGATGATGATGCCCATCATGACTACTACCCCTTCCCATCATCATCATCATCATCATCATCATCATGGTCATGGTCATGACCATCAACATCATGCTAATGCAGACTCAAATACCCTATTTTTTCCTCCTCATCAAGACCAGAACCGCAATAGCAGCAGTGGTTCTTCTCTGATTCTCGACGAGCAGCACAACAACAACAGCAACGCAGGGTGTTATTTCATGGAGAGCAACAACGATGGCGGAGCAGTCAGTGCTTGCTCTTCTTCTGTTAAGGCTAAGATCATGGCTCACCCTCACTACCACCGTCTCTTGGCTGCTTATGTCAATTGTCAGAAGGTGATGATCAGAAACAGACTATACCTAATAGAACTTGAGTAATTTTCTCTACGTATATATATTTACATATCATAGTTAAATACCCAGATGACTATAAACACAGAAACACAACAACCCAGTTACATGCAAAAACAAAAGATTTAAAAGAACTTTTTTTTTTTTCCATATGTTGTTAGAAGCAGGAGATTTTCTGTGTTGTTAGAAGTAAAAGATTTTCTATATTGAAAGCATAAAATTTTCTGATGTCTATGTATCAAATAATTGATTACTGTAAAAATTTTTACTTCAAGATTTTCCGAGTCGCAGCGAAAAAAGGCCTTTCGGGAACGTACACATACAGGATGATTGGTACAAGTAATATTATATATATGTACCCATAGACCCTAGTTTTTTGCATCAAGAAGATAATTAGAGTTACGAAAGGTGATGATGGAGCTGGTTAACTTGTTTCAGGTTGGGGCACCACCCGAGGTGGTGGCTAGGTTAGAAGAAGCATGCGCATCGGCAGCTACAATGGGTCCGGCCGCCGGCGCTGTCTGCATCGGCGAAGATCCGGCGCTTGACCAGTTCATGGAGGCTTACTGCGAGATGCTGACAAAGTACGAGCAAGAACTCTCTAAACCATTCAAGGAAGCCATGGTTTTTCTTCAAAGGGTCGAGTGTCAATTCAAAGCCTAACT